GTTCAAAGCTGAGTCAACTGAGCGCTGACAGAGAAGAAACAAACGCGGACGCGGAGAGTCCACTGCTGAGGCGGTCTTGATTTTGCTCTCAGCGGTGGAAAGGTTCAGAGAGTTACACATTGGTCCTAACAAAGTACCGCTGCCCGCGGTGAAATTGCGCGGCAGCGGTGTCCCTAGCGCGGCAGCGGTCAAGTTACCGCCCTCAGCGGAAGTCAGAATCAGAGAGCCAGAAGTGAAGCTAAAAATTGAGGACCGCAGTCCGCGCTTGATTTTGCGCGGCCGCGGTAGTCATAGCGCTGCAGCGGTCTCCTTAGGGGCATTTTTGTCCAAAAAATTTAGCTTTGTATAAATAGTTCTTTACAGATTTTTAGGTCATCTCTTGTTTGGTAGAGCACGTGAACAGCTGTTTTTAGCCTTGATACCGGTACCAGCGCCTTCTACCTCGGAAAAGTCAAGCGCCAAAGATAAGCAGACGGCCAAATAGCAATCACCGCCCCCAGCCTCGACCGAGTCGGAGTAACAGGTAACCGAAGAAGAAGAAGAAGAAGAAGAGGATCTCCTTACTCCTCGAACTTTCGTTGTTCCCAAAGAGTCCGACGCAACCAAGTCAACGGTCGAGGAACTGGAACAGGCCATACTGATCGAATACATGCTCGAGAGAAAGGTATACCTGGGTACGGGGTTAACCCCCGAACTCAGGAAAAAACTCATTCAATTCCTTATTGATAATATGGATTGTTTTGCTTGGTCCCATTTAGACATGACAAGGATCCCATCGAAAATAACAACACACCGGCTAAGCCTCGACCCCAGGTTCAAACCGGTAAAGCAAAAAAGGAGGCCCCAGTCCGAGGTGAAGCATGCATTCATAAAGGATGATATAGTCAAATTTCTTAAAATAGGGTCTATTCGGGAGGTAAAATACCCAGAATGGTTAGCCAACGTAGTTGTAGTTCCTAAAAAGGGAAACAAACTTAGAATAGGCGTAGATTATAAGGATTTAAACAAAGCATGCCCTAAAGACTCTTTTCCATTACCGATCATCGGTCGCATGATCGATGCCACGGACGGCCACGAGATTCTAACTTTTCTCGACGCCTACTCCGGGTACAATCAAATTCAGATGAACCGGGAGGACCATGAAAAGATCTCATTTATCACTAAGTTTGGAACATACTGTTACAATGTAATGCCCTTCGGGCTAAAAATGCTGGAGCAACATACCAATGCTTAGTTAACAGAATGTTTAAGGAACAGATAGGTAAATCAATGGAAGTGTACATTGACGATATGTTGGTTAACTCCTTGCGCCCAGAGGACCATTAGCTCACTTGCAGGAAACATTCAAAATCTGGACGAAATACAACATGAAGCTTAACCTAGAGAAATGTGCCTTCGAGGTCGATTCGGGCAAGTTCCTCGGATTCATGGTATCAAATCGAGATCAACCCCGTCAAGATCAGGGCCATCGAGGATATCACTATCGTAGATAGTGTGAAAGTCGTACAAAGGATAACATGATGAATAGCCGCCTTGGGTCGATTTATTTCGAGGTCATTGGATCGAAGCCATAGATTATTTTCCTTGCTCAAAAAGAAAAAGGATTTCGCATAGACCCCGAAATGCCAGCAAGCATTGGAGGATTTAAAGCGATATTTATCGAACCCACCTCTGCTTCACACTCCGAAGGTAGACGAAAAGCTTTACCTGTATTTGGCAGTGTCCGGGATATCGGTAAGTAGGGTACTGGTTCGAGAAGAGCAAGGTACGCTATTCCTCATTTATTATGTAAGTCGAACTCTAGGTGATGCTGAAACTAGATATCCACACCTAGAAAAATTGGCACTTGCATTAATAAGCGCATCTAGAAAGTTAAAGCAATATTTTCAGTGTCATCCCATATGTGTGTTGACCACTTATCCCCTTCGAAATGTTTTGCATAAGCCCGAACTATATGGCCAATTGGCCAAATGGGCCATCGAACTTGGAAGGTACGATATCGAATATCAACCCCGAATGGCCATCAAGTCCCAAATCTTAGCTGACTTCGTGGCCGATTTTAACCGACCCTCGTACCCGAAGTAGAGAAAGAACTTCTGCTAAAATCGGGTACATCATCGGGGTTATGGACCCTTTTCACGGACGGAGCCTCGAATGTGAATAAGTCCGGGCTTGGCATTGTTTTGAAGCCACCAACAGGTAGTATTATTAGACAATCTATCAAAACTTCTAGGTTGATCAATAACGAGGCCGAGTATGAGGCCATGATTGTAGGTCTCGAGCTAGCTAATTGCTTGGGGGCAGAAGTCATTGAAGCCAAGTGCGATTCTCTGTTGGTAGTGAACCAAGTAAACAAAAGTTTTGAAGTTCGAGAGGATAGGATGCAAAGATACTTGGATAAGCTACATGTAATCCTGCATCGCTTTAAGGAGTGGACCCTAGATCATCTGCCTCGAGAACAAAATAGTGAGGCCGATGCACTTGCCAACTTGGGGTCATCACTAGAAGAAGATGATATTGTTCCGAGGACTGTCATCTAATTATCGAGATCTTTGGTCGAAGAGGGTCATACCAAAATAAATTCTACGAGTTTGACTTGGGATTGGAGGTATAAGTATATCGACTATTTGAAAAATGGAAAGCTCCCATCGCATCATAAAGAGTCAAGGGCTCTACGAACCAAGGCTGCTAGGTTCACATTAGATGAAGATGGAACATTGTACAGGAGGACTTTCGATGGACCATTGGTGGTATGTTTAGGGCCGGGGGATACCGATTATGTTTTACAAGAAATCTACGAAGGCACTCGTGGGAATCACTCCGTCCCCAAGTCTTGGATTCGCAAAATTATAAGAGCAGGGTATTATTGGGATAGCATGGAAAAAGACACTAAGGAGTTTGTCAAAAAGTGTGATAAATGTTAAAGGTTTGCACCGATGATTCATCAGCCCGGAGAGCAACTTCACTCAGTCCTGTCCCCATGGCCTTTCATGAAATAGGAAATGGACATAGTCGGCCCTCTGCCAACGGCCCCAGGTAAAGCTAAATTCATACTGTTTATGACTGATATTTTTCTAAATGGGTGGAAGCACAGGCCTTCGAGAAGGTCAGAGAAAAAGAAGTTATTGACTTCATCTGGGACCACATCATATGTCGATTCGGGATACCTGCCGAGATCGTATGTGACAATGGAAAGCAATTCGTCGGCAACAAGGTAACGGAGTTCCTTGAAGCACACAAACTAAAGAGGATCTTATCAACACCGTACCACCCAACCGGGAACGGACAGGCCGAGTCAACAAAAAAACTATCATTCAAAACCTAAAGAAAAGGTTGGACGACGCAAAGGGAAAAGGGAGAGAAGTTCTACCCGAGGTCCTTTGGGCATATCGAACGATATCGAAGTCCAGCACGGGGGCTACTCCATTCTCTTTAGTATATGGCTCCGAGGCCATAATCCCGGTCGAGGTCGGAGAACCCAGCGCCAGGTTTCGACATGTATTGGAGGAGTCAAATCACGAGGCTATGAATACTAGCCTCGAGCTATTAGATGAAAAATGAGAAGCTGCACTTGTTCAGATGGCGGCGCAGAAATAAAGAATCGAGATATATTATAATAAAAGGACTAACCTTCGACACTTCGAAATCGGGGACTTAGTTCTACGGAAGGTCACCCTCAGTACTCGAGACCAGAATGAAGGGAAACTAGGCCTGAACTGGGAAGGACCGTACCGAGTCATCGGAGTTGTCGGTAAAGGATCTTACAAACTTGGCACGATGGGAGGCGAACAACTGCCGAACAATTGGAATGTATCACTACTCAAACGATACAACTGCTAAGGTATGACTTTCTCGTTTGGTCCATTTGAACTTAAAACTAACTCATTGCAGGTGTTCGACCGAAGACATCGAGGGCACCTTTTTACGCGAAGACCTTAGGTTTTAAAGCACGCGTTGCACTATTTTTACCTTAGATCAAATTTTGTCCAAAATGGGTTTTACCGGCGATGTTTTTAACGAGGCAACAACTATGTGCTACCTAAGGAGAATTCAACAGTATCCAAGGCTTCTTTTCAATCAACCTCGAATACTGGAGGCACCACCCTCGGAGATTATATTTTCGAGGAAAATACTTCATGCCGAAGGGGGCCTCGATAGGAAAACTTTGTAATGGGCTAAATGGTCAGATGAACGGTGTCCATATAGAATAATCGAGCCTTGACGGCAAAACATGTATGTATGTACCAATTATTCAAAAAATCATTCTTTCTATATCAAAACACTTTGTGTCTCAAAGAAATTTGCTACTATACAAACATCATACTTGTGATTTAGCAAGAAACGACTTGTTATACCCCATTTAAACCGGGTCAAATTAGTGTGTAACATATTAGCGATTCTGAGGTTCATTTAATTTTAAGAAAGTCGCCACCTAATTAATTCTAAGGTGAATTAGGACACCTATTTTTAAAGCTAAAGTCAAACTCTGTCTTATGGTCTCAACCTAAATATTCTAAGTAAGGGTTTTAAATATTTTAAAAGGAAGCTTTTTAAGGCACCTTTTAAAATCCATTAATAACGGTTAACCGACCAAGCTTAGGTTAAAAAAAAAGTTATACAAAAAATATCAAGAAATATCGTTTGGGGTATTTTAATAAAATATAACTTACAAAAGAGTAATTTAACTTGAAAATATTATTAAGAAAAAAAGGGTTTAAAACTAATTAATATGTGCATATGTGGATCTGGAAGCAAACAACCATTTTATTTTAAAATACTCATCACTTACCGCAAGAAAAGAAAATTATTTTTGTTTGTCATCAAATTTTACTAAGGTCAAGAAATTGTAGAAATTATTTATTTAAAAAGAAAAAAAAAATCTGCAAAGCTCAATTCAAAAGCTACGTTTTCAAGCAAAGAAAAGTTTCGTTGCCCTTTTTAAGTCTAAAAAAAAGGACGTACCAATATTCCAGGTGATTAAACTCTTAGAAGTTCTTGATTAGTAAGATATTTGGCCAAAATTACTGTTATAAATTTACACGATAAAATTAATCATCAATAATAAAACGAACTCCAAACCAAATCAAATCACATAAACTGACAAAATTTAGACAAAGTAAGTAAGGAATAATGAAAGCCGCCATAGGCAAACCCAAGCGAATTTGCTTGTTTTATTCTTGTCCAATGCGATTAAAGGAAATAGTTTGTGATAACTCTATGCGGGTAGGAAGAGTCTTGCATTAAGACTCCATGTCGCTCCGAAGTGTACATGCAAATAAAAAAGTGGAGAATAAAGATTAGTAAAAAAAATAGTCTTAAACTTACAGTGTACGAAATGAGTAGAATAATAACAGGAAATCTTTTTGTGAAATCTATATTAGATTTCATATTATCAAAAGTATTTTAGCCTTGTATGCTTCTTTTATATCAGATAATAGAATTCCAAACAAAACTTTTAGCATCCAGGCTTAGAGAAAAGGTTTTCAACAGTAAGTTCCTACATAAACCTATATAAATCTTTACATTCAGGTGATTAAACTGACACAGGTTAGAGTTTTAGAATATACGTCTGGTAAACAATAAACTATTAGACAAGTTATACAACAAAATAGCTGAAGGTTCTCTTTCTAACTCAAACTAACACTACCTCAATTAAGACAAATACTTAACACGACTTAATGTTATTCTACCACATAAGTCAGTCATTTGACAATATCCTAAACCACATGTAGTCATAACATAATATCAAGTAACACTACAGTTTGTTAATTAGCATGGATTCTAACAGATACTTTAATAGTCTACATGAATATCTTAAATGTACACATATATTTCAAATTGATACTATCCTTTTCTTAAAAGTATGATTTCTCAAATGTACGCGAAATCAATCTATGGCTAAAATAAGATTATTTTTTAGAAATAGTTCTTAATCATGAACTTATAAGATGTTTTTTTAATATTCAAACAGTAGATGAACATGGTTTCCATTTAAAGGTTCAAACTTATGGTGAGTCCTAACAGTTAGAGAACATGTTGCTTTTCCACATATCTATGCAAGGCAATAGATTCCTATAGTCATGATTCTGACAGAATTTAAGGCATGAATCTCTGCTGCATAAGAACAAGAAAAATAAAAATAAAAACACAAGACAAAACTTCTACAACACTTATAAATGATACAACACATGGTAACTTTTAACAAAACAACTAGCATTTTTGTGGAACATTATCAGTCATGCAAATGCCACACGCCCAGAAACTAAATTCCTTTAAGACATAATTTCTACACACAATGAACTCTAAATCATGATTCCCAATATGTTACTTAAAGTAATAAATACAGAATAGCAGGTTTACATATAACCTTAATTGGAACAGAGAACCTGGTGCTCTTCAGGTTTCAGTTTACTCTTCTTTTAATGAAATTGAATCGGGCAGAGACTGATAGAGATTAAACTAGTTTTTGAGATCAAGTTTTAACGTGAAACTTCTTAATTCCTAATTAGCTCGAAAATAGCAGATCTTATGAATATGATTCATGAGTGAACCAAACAAATTTATGTGCACATGATTTATACAACAAAAAATAAAAATAATAATAAAGCAACTAAACCATGAACTTCTATAACAGAATAAAAGGGGACTAACACATGATTCCACTGGATAAGAAAACGACAACTTTATACTTAATAAGAAAAATAAAGAGCGACTAATACTTAGAAGGGAAAACTGACCTTTTGCGGTGCAGGAACTGGGGTCGCGTCAAGATCTACTATCTCCGGCCTCTATTACGCAAGCTCAAACGATCGTCGAATTCCGAACGCCACCGCCTCTATTACGGTTAAACAAAAAACCAATAGAGGCTGACCAAAACGAGCCCTTAAAGTGTGGTTTTAATGTGTAAGAAATCAGAGAAAGAGGCTCGGAAAAGTGTAAGAGCGGGTCCAAAAGTTGCTGAAAATCTCCACCAAGTTTGGTATTTATAGGAGATGAATTAGGGCACTTCTAGCGTTAGTTTGGGCGGGATTTTGAGGTTCGAAATCGAGTCAAGGGGCGTTCAAATTTGAACGTTGGGTGGTCTCCATGGCTATTCTATTTCGAGGAAAAAGAAAGAGAGATAATTGAAAGATTCAGAGAGCTAAAACCAAAAATAAGCAAATTAGCGTATACCTCTTGATATGGCAGAGATACGCCACAGAAAATGCCTGAAATAGTGAAATTATCGTCTGCCATGTGAGGATTCGATTTGCTTTCGGGTGGAAAAATAGTAATCCATCTGCAAACAAGCAAAAGGGAAGGAGAAAAGAGATCTCCTTTGCTCGAAATAGGCACGCGAGGTTCTGGTCTTGGGTGGTGGAGGTCAAAACTTAGTTTAAAATGGAGATAGAGCCAAATCTTAGCTCTGCCATCGCAGAGAAAGAGAGGAAGAGAGAGAGATGAGGAAATGACTAGGGTTTCTCAATTAAAAATCATCTTAGCCTTAGGATTAAAGATTTACGTTTGAGATTAATCTTAAAAAAAATATATATAAAAAGAAAAAAGAAAAGGAATACCAATATTAATTTATGTGATTTTCTAGAAGGGTCTAAGAGGGTTTAATCCCAGCCATATATTTAAATGGCCTTGGCTTGGATGGTGACACGTTGAAGAAGGGGATGGGGGTATGGGGTGGTGCTTGGAAGTTGGAACGGTAAAAGGCAAATATTACCATTAATTAGAAGAGACATGGGTACCTAAAATAGTGTGATTTGAACCCCTTTTTTATGCAAATTAATTGAGAACAATTAAGTTAATTAGTGCTGTAGAAATTATAAATGGAGACTTAATTGACCATCCAATAATATTGGACTTTGCCAAGATGATCCAAGTTACGTTTAAAAGTCCTTTTTCACTTTAAATTATACTATGCTTTCATAATTCTAATAATTTAAAATAAAATATATATTATATCATATTGTTATAAAAACTAATATTTAAAATATATATAGAATAAGAAATAGAGAAATAAATTATAATTGGCAAATAATATTTGTATTAATTATTACGATGTATTAACATTATATAATAATATGATGGTGATTAAGTAACTAAAATAGTAATAATGATATAACTATAATAAATAAACATGCTAAATTATATTAAGGCTAATAATTATATTTTATTTTTAAAATCTTAAGGCAAGAAAAATATAACAATTTTTTTTGTATAAAAATATATAAAATATATTTTGTAAATCATTAAGAATAAGGAAGTATAGAGAAATTGATTAGGAAAGAGGAGGGCCAAAATTGGTTGTCAACACGACTCAAGGGCCAAAGCATGAATATACCTCGAATACTCGGGGACTGTCATCGACAGTCAACATATTCGAGTCATCCAAACTCGACTTCATAAGACCTCAAAGAGGCATCCCTTCGACATGAAGGCTAAGGCCATCATACTCGAGGACTAACCTTTCGAACAAGTTCAAAAGGTTTATCGGAAAACAAGTCCAAGAGACATACCCGAAGGCTACGGCCACATTAAAGGCTACGGCCACATTAAAGACTACGGTCATATAAGAAAGGCTACGACCGAAATAATGCGGCTCGGAGATGTCCGACTTCCGCCATAAGTTAAAGGCCTTCAAATACATTGAAAAACCGGTTAAATTAGGCTACCCTTGGCAAAAGCAAATAAAAAAGGGCTCCGATAAAATCAGCCCTCCAATAACTTAAAGGCTTCGATAACATCAACCTTCGAAAAGAGCCTCAAGAGGAATTTCAATTATCGTAACACAAACGGATTACAAATGAGGTTCTGATCGCTCGAACCTTCAAAAAACCCCAACGGGTACAAAAAACACATGTTAAGGCATGAAGAAATTTTCACTAAGTCTTTTAGCCGAAAAGAGGGAAAAATTATAGCCGCTTTAGAGGCCGAATTGGCCCAACTTAAAGAGCCTAAGGTCCGACCTAAAAGAGCCTAAGGGCCAATATAAAAGAGCCTAAAGGCCGAAGCATGTAGAGTTCGAGGATTAACAAAAACCTTAAGAGGTATTCTATTATAAGTTCAAAGATCGCCTATTGATCACTAAAAAAACCTAAGGGTTTTTTCTATTCTAAGTACGAGCCAGTGCTCACTTGATCGTTAAAGTTATAACATCAAAAAATTTCACAAATGAAGACGAAGCAGAATTCAATACAAATTGGAGATAAAGCGAAAAGAAAGGGATTCCTTATATTCATAAAGAGTATTTACAATGCCCACAAAGGGACTTATACAAAACCAAAAAACAAAAGAGCCTAAGCTACTTTGGGAGCCACGTCCTCGGAAACCACATCCCGGGAGCTACATCCTTAGGAGCCGCATCTTCAGGAACCTCCTCCTCGGGGACTTCATCCTCATCTCCTCCGCTCTCGGAGCCGCTGGCAGAATCCTCACCATCAGAGATTAAAGCAGCAGCCTTGTCCTCCAAAGTTTTTGCTTTATCAATGTCAGCAGAGAGGTCGAAGCCACGAGCGTGCACTTCCTCGAGAGTTTCTCTCCGGGATTATCGCCTGGCGTGATCAAGAGCACATGATAATTTGACTTCAGCCACTATTGAGATTTCATGTGCCCGAATGTTGGCAGCTTCAGCGTCAGCTCGATAAGGACACAAATGCCTCTATATCGGATTTGGCCTTCGCAATCTCAACGGACGATTTAGCTTCGAGCTCCTCAATCTTTTGGCTCCGGGCCAGGATTTCTCCCTTTACATTTTAAAGCTGGCGCTCGATCGAGGTCAGCTGATCCCGAAGCTTGTCTTTCTCTGAGGCGAGACGATCCATATATTGCTTCCACCCCAAGGTCTCGGCCTCTTTCACCTTGAGCTCCTCTCGAAGCTGCTCCACCAGCTCACCCTTCTGCTGGGCCTGCAAAGTTGAAGTATTAGTTACTAAATCAAATGAGTGCGTAACAGGCCAAAGGATACATTACCTTTTCAATGAGCTCAGTCTGCTCTTGACGAGCTTTCGCCAATTCAACTCGGACATCCCTGACCCCCTCCTCTTTCTGTACATAGAGGCGCTTGAGGCCGTCCCTCTCTTCCACCAGCTTCTTGAGTTCGGTTTTGCATCGGGCAAGCTCGGCTCGAGATTTGTAAAATGCTTATCGATGAAGCGCCACAGCCTTCACACAAAGAAAAGGAGTCGGACAGAGAAAAACGAGAATAAAACTCGAGCGTAATTATGAAGACAAAAACTTACTTGTTTGAAAAGTCTCTGGGCCTCATCAAAGATAAACGAGGCGTCAGGATCGGGACCATCTTCGATCCCTGCAAGGCACTCCCGAAAAATATCACTCCCTTCATAGGTCGTTCCCACATCAGGAGTCCTCATGGCCCGGGCATCTCTGAATTGCCCTTTGGAGAACATAGGGCCCGGCGGCGAGTCATCCACATTAATTATCCCAAGTGATTCACTTGGGATATTATCCTCTCTATGGAGGGCCTCATAACTAGGCTCCTCGGTCTCGCCCGCCAAATGTCCCCTGGGACGAGATGCATTTTTACCACCTAATGGCTCGGGGACTCTGCTCGAGATCCCCTCCAAAAATTCTTCAGTTCGAGGTTGAACCGCATCAGCAACCATCGGTTGATCGGCCTTCGAAGCGTCAATGCTTCCTCTTTTTCGAGTTACCAACAGGCAGTCGTCATCTTCTCCCTCCTCCTCGTCATCCCGAAGGTGTTGGGCTGCTTCTGAAGATAGGGCCACGGGATCGGCCCTAGGCTTTCGAGCCTTAATTTTTTTTGGCTTCGGGGAACTTGCAGACGACCCCCTTTTCCTCTTCTTTTCGTTGGTCGATTTTGGGATTTCTTCTTCACCGGGCGGGGGCGGCCGCGTAGCAACGGCGTCTCCGAGGCCTGCATAATGGTAAAGTGAGTATTCCATTAAGAAACATCAATATGTAAACAAGAGAACTCACCATGGTTTTTAGCTTCCCATCGACCCTTGGCCAAATCAAGCCAACTGCGTTTCGCGTAGGAAGAAGTGGAGGCCAATTGCCGGACCCAACCTGCGAGGTCCGGAACCGCACCAGGAAACCAAGAGACAGCTGCATCATCAGAAAATAATTAGATCGAGAAAGAATAGGGAAAGCAGGATATTAATCACCATCGATAAGTTTGTGCTTACGTTTCATGTTCTACTCCTCGGGGAATGGCATCCTCTCAGCAGGAATCAGATTGGAGGTCCTAACTCGGACAAACTGGCTCATCCATCCTCTGTCCTTGTCCTCATCAATGCTGGAGAAAAGGGACTTCGAGGATCGGCGCTGAAGCGGCCCGAGAAATATTTGATCATATTGACGATGTGCCAGAAAGAAGGGTAGATCTGGCCAAGCGTCACCTGGTATTGTTGGAAAAAATTCAAGAATCACTGGGTCAATGGAACCAGAGCTGGATCTACGGGACCCAATGTGAAAGGGTAGGTATACACGCTTAAGTACCCTACTTTATGGGTGGTAATGTCATCTTCTTGGGAAGGGATCACAACATCCTTATTCTCCCAATTGCAATCCTTTTTCACCTACTCAAGTTCATCTTCGGTTATCAAGCTGATGTATCGAGACATGGGCTCACATCGGCCTGGTGTCGATGCAGGTTTATCGATTTTAAAATTGAAAGTTAGCTCGCATGGCTCGGGAATACACTCCTCGATACGAGGAGGTACCACCGTTCTACCTCTGGCTGGCCGCGATGATGAAGTTTTTTCTTTCTGAGGAACGGTTTTAGATGTTTTAGCCATTGTGGTTGAGAAATTCAAGAGAAGAGAATGAGATGATGCTATAGTAAGAACAAATGGAGAAAAGGGTGAACTCAGAGAAGTTGAAGCTAGTGAGATTTTAAGGGTGATTTGAGAAGTAAAGATTGCAAAAATTGTAAAATTGGCCTATTTATAGAGGCCACTTTAACGGTTTGGGGAAACCAACGGCCGACCATCAGCCGCCTCCAAGTAATGACCTTGGGAACTATGCAGAAGCGACCTTTCAATCGATTCAGTCGCTGACGTCACGAGATTGACACCATGATCGAGGCATCGGAGCATCGAGGATCAAGTCGTTTCTTATCATCTTATTCTAAGAAACGCGGAGACTATCTGTATATGGTCAAAATCAAGTATGCTCGATTTATGGGCTCGAGGAACCACTTCAAGAATCGGTCCGAAGTACACTGGGTTCGAGGCTGACGGTAGAGTTCGAAAATCGAAGATCAAAGTGACCGATGAATATTGAGGCCGAACGTGACTGGCTTCGAGATAATGCCGTTGTGGCTTCGTAACAGAATGAGCAAGATTCCTGCCACGTCCCCAAGATCGTGGCGTAAATTCCGGAATAGATTTGTACGAGTTAGTACTAATCCGTACTAGGCGGTTAGACAGCTGTCCCAATAAGATTCTTACCTTATTTAGGGTTCCCCTATTATATAAAGGGGACCCCAATCATTTGTAACCATCATCAATCATTGGCAAAGAATATAC